TTGGGGATGGTCTTAGCAACTCTAAAATTCATCGTTTTTCGAAGTAGTCCTAAATTTACAGCCAGAGGTCGAGAAACGAACTGTGGTAATGAAGAGTTGAATAAAGCTGAAGCGACGAACCCGTTTAGTAGATAAGTCACTAGCTAGGGTACCCATAGGAGCAACTGGCAAATTGTAGTACGGTTTTGGTCATTTTTTTCAGAAATGCTTTCCTCATTAAGGACAAATGTTTACAACATATTAGTTACTCACATATAACACTTCCTCTGCATACGCATAGGGTTCTGTCCTGTACTTCGTTTAACTTGCTTTAGTAATGAAAGTAGTTTCATTTCACACTATTCCCTTCCCTTTTTTGTGTGATTTCATCCTGTTCAGTTTTCCCCTCCTGTTTTTTCGCAGAATATGATAATTTCTTTATTAAATTGATTTTCCTCTAGATAACTACCAGAAAACTATGTTTAGGTCTATACATGCATGTGATATCAGTGCTAGTTTAGGGTATTCAGATAACTGGGTTTGCTCGGAAATCTGTTTGATGCACGAGAGGGAAGAATGAGAAAGACTTCGGAGCTTCCTTCCCCACGACACTTCAGCACACTTCCTCATTATAAATAGTCTGACACGCTTTGAAACTATTAAGACCAGTTAAACATTGTGGCTCAAAAGAAAACCAACTGGCGGTATAAATCGGCCCCCTCATTATGGAGCCAAGTTAAAATGGGTCCTTCTGAATGTGCCCTCTATGGAACTCTAACTTTGATGTAGTCGGAGGTACCCCCATTTGTTCTTTTAAAAATCTGCCACATAGTGCGTTGACCAGACGTTTGCGGCTGCCTGACCTTTTAAGCCACTGCGTCCTATCCCGCTTTCTTCCGTTTCGACTCGTCATCGCCAAGGGTTGAATGACAGAGTGCTCCAGTCTACCGTTGCTGTAAACTAATTCACGCGCATTTCGTCGTTATGCGTCAGCTATGCTGTGGGTCATACGACGCATATCATCGTTTGTGACAATTCAACTGACTTTAGAGAATAACCTCGAAACCTAGGACAAAAACAATTATATTTCATGCCAGATTCAATGAGAGATGTGAAATAACGTGCCATCATCAGATTTTTTAGCTAGCTCAGAAAAGTATTTCAGCTACAAGAAGGACGATCTTAGTACTCTAAAAGTGCATATTACAAGTTTGTCAAAACTAAAATTCAATGAGCCTCCAAGCAGAAATAAGCAAACAGCCTATTGATAGAGCTCTTTTCATTAATGTGGGTACTAGCCAAATCTACAAAAGGAAAAAGCAGAGTTCAATGTCCGTCGGCTGTTACTCATGCAGTTTAGCAGACAATCGCGAGACAAAGGTACGCAACCTATAGACCACCGTTCAAATGTTGTATTATCCTCTCAATAATTAGTTGTCAGTTTTAAAATGGCAATGTATGGCGACAACTACAAAATTCCGTAGGCAGTTAACCTCGTCACCGTCTACGAATAACCTCCAAATAGTGCATTCTGAACTTATTTCTGGTTGTTTTCGGCCCACTTCTCAGAAGAATTTTCAACTCCTGGACTCTACCAGTATACCACTACATCGAACTGGGAACAACTAATTCATTGCATGCTTCGAACGCATATAATCTTAGGAAAAAGTTAGCAGAATGCAAACAGTGTATAATTTTTGAGACGTAAGTCTAATAGTTGTCGAAAAGGCGCGAACAAACGCAAAGAATTCGATTCCGTTGGTTAGTGCCGACTGTTCTGCTTTAAGTAAAAGCTATCAGAGTCTTCTTGAGAGAAGTTTTATTCGCTAGGTCAGCTCCAGCCTGAATTCTACAGCTCATTTCACCATCACAAGACCTTAAATCTCTACCGTTCTACGAATATTCGAACTTAAATAAATGTGACTTTTTGACTACACTGGTCAGCTTCAGGCATAGAAGGGATCCTAGATGCATAAATAGTTTGGGCGGAACGAGACGCAGTCGCTTACAACTAATAGTGCGTTACTCAGCCAAACGTTGAGAAAAAAGGTTCTTCAAAACAGGGAATGCTCTGCAGTGTAATTAACGCAGTCGAATCAGTTATAAGAAAAAGCATAGAAGCAACAACTGTTTTGAAAATGCTCCTAGTCATGCCATCCTTTTGCGAAAGTCGAAGTACGGGTAATAAGACTAGTACAAAATTCAAAATCATGTTGAGCGTAAAGGAGCTTAAAATTTACATACAAGGGATTATTGTTAATTGTTTAACTAATGCCACTAGTCTCACTGTTACGAGAGAGGAGGTATTACTAGGACGTGTCGGTGGTCGCCGACAACGTTGATATTTTTTTATGGGTTTCCATCTTGCGTCGAGTGATCTTCCTTTCCATGACCTCATATTTTTACTTCATAACGTGACATGACGAATAAAGAGTACGAACATGTTGCTTTGGGTGCGCCATTCGTATAGTCTGTTAGACGCTGTTCAGCTGCAGCTATCTCAGCCCTCTTATATGCAGGAGCTTTCAACTTTCAATGGATATTCTAATTGTCGGCTTCTACAAGTCTTCCAGCCCTTATACGTCGCCCTCTGCAGATTTGCTGTTGCAGAGAATTGTTTTTTGGGCTTAAACGAACGAATACTTAAAGTTTACTTTCACAAGAACTATGTTTGCACACCTTGGCCCTCCATATAAGATGATTTCGACCGTAAGCAACGGATAAAATATCCTCAGACGTGACAATTTTTTGTGTCACATGCTCTTAGTTAGCTATAGTGATTGCAAAT